GGCACCAGTCCCAGCATGCCTTGTTGTAGCCACCGCGGAAAAGAACTGTGTATCCATCTTCCATGACGACGCGCTGACTTGGGGACATGAACCTCAGCAATGCGCTTCTGGTCCCCTCCAAGGCAGCTGCGTGCAGCCCTGCATTGCCGGGCTGCAATGCTGCCTATCCCCAGAGGCCCCCGCATGGCTTCCTCTTGCGGAATGTCGAAAAAGGTATTGTCAAAGGAGAAAATCTCTTCGTTCGCCTCGAGCATGAGTCAAGCTCCCGAAGATCCGTGTTGCACATATTTTGGAGGCTCTGGCAACAAAGGCTCCATGGATGGTGTAACACTTGCCAGGCGCATCGTGGTCTCCCTCCTGAAAACAGACAAGTCTCCGGAGTTACAGCGGTTCCGTCATACCATATATATAGAGAGAGAGGGAGAGTTTTATATATATATATATAATCATATAATTATATATATATATATACCCACGACGCAACTCACTGCAATCCAGCACTGTGCGCCAGCTACCACACCGCCGAGCCTTTGTGCAGTATATTTCGGTGTCCCACCTGTGGATCGGCTGCAGACTCAGTTAGGAACAATTAGGGACGTGCCACCCATCTTTTAATCCGTGAAATGTCATGATGACCGTCATCTTAAGCTCAAAAGAGGATTTTGATGATCTTTCACTTCAAGCGCAGAAGACACAAGAAGATACGAGCTGATCATCAAACACTTTCTCACAAGCTGTTTCGAGGCAAGTGGTCATTGCACGCCTTCCCGAGGGAATGGACAGCATCCCATCCGTCCCGTCCAGCAACATGGACCAGTACCTCACAAAGGAAGGTCAAGCAAGGTCTCGATTGATTAGCCCAGACCCTGCCAATCCCTGCCATTGCCATGCTGTGTGGCACTGGTCTGGTCCACTACCTCCTCCTGGAAGGCGGCACATGACCTGCAGTTTCTGAGCAACCGAGCTACTACTGCGAGAGCCCACGTCTGAGCGCAAGGCACTCATAATGTGCACACGGTCTCCCTGCATCGCATTTGCATCTGGATGCTCTGGGCAATGGCCTATTGAGGCAGGATGCCTCTGGGTGCGGCCGCCCGCTCATGATTCCCATAGCCTCTGCCTTTCGAGTGGGAGCAAACTTCGGAAAATAAGAAGAGAAGACAACAGCCTGCCTTCATCATTGGATGTCCTTCCAGCTTGCCAACCTGAAACCTCAGTGACAAGTGACAAGGATGGTTGTGAAAACGTCAACAGTGCCACGAAATCACTGCGTATCAGGCCCTGAGTCACAGACTTGGCAGGAGGCTCCAGGACCCAGCTTTGTAAAACGACAAACCTCAAAAGACCAGCGGCGTGCTGGTGATTTTGAACACATTCGTGTGTAAGCGGCATGGTCCCACCCACACACCATCCCCCCTTCCGGCCCCAAGGGAGGCTCCTGCAGGGATCGTGGGTCTTGCCAACATGTCTAGCAATTCCAACTCAATTCACTAGAGGCTTGACAGAGTTGCAAACGATGGTTTCCGGCGTGGGCGGGCATGTTGGGTGCTAGGCACTGCGGAAGTTGAGCCTGCTGCCGAGACATGAAACCCGAAAACACCTAGAAGGCGTGCCAGAACCGAGGGATCCATGCCGTTCAGATAATGCCGCGGACTGTTCAGTCCTGATTGCGGTAGGCGGAGAATCTGAGAACCCTCCTCAACTAAACTTGCCGGGGTTAAACATGCGAGGACATTCGGCTAGAGAGCGCCTGTTTGCAACGTTACCCCGGCACCCACGAGACTGACTGCGACTAATGCCTCTCCAATTGCAGTACTGACATGCTGGCCTTCCGGAAGGCTTGTAGGAAAACGTCATGCGGTCCTTACAGGCACCAAATCACCAGCCTGCGAGGCACCGTTGGTCCACACTTGGCGGCCGACACCCCGATAAACTAAGAGCTTGCGTCTTCCAATGGGCAGGGACACCTGAGGCAGCACTGGGGGGCAACCAGGACAGCCCATGACCTCCACTTTCAGATTTGAGGCTCCTACCGCTCGCTCAGGCCTCCGTGGTCCAGGAGTCAGTCTGATCTCGCCGCTCTCTGACTCAAGCCTGCGGCGACCAAGAATAAGAGCGATGTCTCGCAATGTCTCGCACTGTTTTACGCTCTCACAACTCGGACAAGCCAGGCTCGCACTGTTTGGGGCTCCGGCCACAGCATGCAGCAAAGACGGCGACGTCGCAGAAATTGCAAGTGTTCCTGCAGAGTGTAGCAGTCCCGAATGTTATTGTTGGAGTGTGTGCAATGGAAAGAGACAGCAACACTGCCTCCAGGTGACCCTCCTCAATGTCGTCATCCTGCAATGCCGAAGTGCAATGAAAGCATACATAACCCCAGGTTTCGACGTTCATGTGAACTGGGGCAGGCACATTCAGAGGGTCTCCTTCCATCGAGAACTCTTCACGGCCTGACTGCAGGAGTGCTTGCTTGCCTGGCCAAGCCAGCCTGCCACACGCAGAGCCGTTGTTCGGGCTGCGGCGTGTTGCATACGGCACCCACCTCAAGTCTGCCCGGAATTTGCAATGTGCACGAAAGGAAATTACAAGACCACCCGAGCCGGGGACAACAAAGTTGGGGATCTCTCCCCAACACTACCTTCAGAACGGCTTCTGTGCTATGATTGTGCAACATCTCACTACATGCTCTCGCAAGACGTCTTTGCCAGAGCAAAGGTCTCAACGAAAGCCCATATTGTGCCACGAGTTGGCTGCCACAGCCTCATGCAACTTGTGACAATTTGTCGGAAGCCAAAGCAAAGTGAAATCGCTATTGCAAGCCTGCGCCACCACGTTGAAGTCAGACTCAAAGCGATGAAGGTTCTCAGCAAGCATTCAAGTTCGATCACGTAAATGTGCCCTCTGATCCAGGAGATAGGCCACTTCCTCCCGGCCACGCTGCCCGGATAGGAACTGCACCTTTCCTGCCAAGGCTTAAACTTCAACGCCGGGCCGGAGCTGCAAATGCTGGAACTGAACTGGAGGGCACCTCGTACCCCATGCCCGAGGTAGTCAGGGATCAGCTCCTGGCGCAAACCTGCCATGGACCACTGCATGATCCTGCGTGGCGACAGATCCTGCCAGGCGCCTGCGAAACGACGCAGGGACCTCGCTTCCCGACATGCTGCTTCGCCTTGGATTGGACGGTGTTTGAAATGCGGAGTTGCTGCACTTGCATCTTTCCAAAGATTAGGTTGCCGGCACAAAGTGTCGTCATGGGAGAGCTGCACTACGGCCCATCCCCTGGCTTCGACGATCTCGCCTCCAAAGAGGGCTTGAATGCACTCAGCGGCCTGCTGGGATGACAGTTGTCTGCCTAATGCGAGGCCGAAGTCCAGCATGGATTCTGGCTCCTCGGTTCTGAAGCCGCCCAAACACATGCTTGAGGACCCTGTCCACGATGCCCTGCCGCTTTGAGACGCATGCCGCAGCTGGGAAGACCAAATCGAAGCCACCTTCCTGATCGTTTGTAAATGCTTGCTCTGTGCCAGCACTCAGCAAGGTCCTCTGGCAGAGGCGGTACAGTTTCTTGAAGATTCTCGGGAAGTATGGCCTCAAAGAGCGTCAGAGCTGGACATGCATGCACGCATGCAGAATGCCCACTTCAGGACGTTGCAAGCGACATCCCTGTGTCCCAGAAGTAGACGGCATAGTGCCTCAAGGGCTGGGCGGCGAGGCGTGCTTGCTTTAAAGAGAAGTTGAGGCTAGGCCGCTAGGCCCGGCATGGGCTATAGGCGGCTGACCGGGCGCTTCCCGGCGCCAAGCTGATGGCCAGTCCGGTCAAGCCATTGACATCGGGGACCGGCCTTTTGCCAGGAAGAGATGTGCAGAGTCCGCACTGAGATTTTCTTGAACCCGGCCACCCTTTTTGAAAAGAACTCCAACAAGTTCACAGAAGGAGAACGAGATCCCGCCATCCGAAGCTGAACCGACAGTTGCTGCTCACATGCTTCGCCCTGACACAGGTCATGACGGGTGCAATACCGCCGTCATGCTCAGCCCCTGAGCCTAGTCCCGTCTTGGTCGGATCGGGGGTGAATCGGACCAGCCCAACCGGGCTAAGAGAGCAAGCAGTCGAGCCTGTCATCTTCAGCATCTATGCGCCGAACAGCCCCTGGGTCCACGCCTGGAGGGTGAGGAGGAAGCGAGAATCATATCAGCACACCCTTGCATGAATAAGAGCCCTTGCATGATTGCTCCGCAACGCACACTGCGTCGCACAGCTTTTGACAGGTACTGTAGGCCAGTTCCCAGCCCCGAACACGCTTGCGCACTGTTGCTTGGCTGCCAAACAAGCCGGTGCATTGAATGCTGAACGACAGGCAAGGGTGGTTTCCACTGGTCGCCGTGGTCGCTGTTCTTGCAGCCAGTAGGACGATTTGCTGTGCTGTTCCTGTACGTGTCGAACGTCTACCAGGCTGTCTGGCTTCAGTGCCAAAAGGCCAAACTGATGCAAAAATCCGGAAGGCTCTGGCAGCCCTGATATCAGGCATGGCTGCAAGCAGAATAAGAGTCTGGCCATGAACCAGGACGACCTTGCCTTCCAAAGGCCTTAACAGGGTAAGCTAGCAATGGCCACCAACCTGTTGCATTCCTTCCTCTGGGGCGCGTGCAGCCTCCTGGCCATGCTCCAGCAAAACTACTGCATGGATGCAGCTCAAACTTGCACTTGCTTCAAAGCTTGAAGCCTGCGGACGTGGGAGCGTCAAAGAACTGTTGCTCTCGCTTGCGGCATGGATGGTCTGTGGGGCGGCAGGGATCTAAAAGCTCGACCTTGAGACTCGGCGGATGGAACCGGCAACCAAGTGCATAGGTTTTGTCCGGAAAGCAATTGCAAGGCGTTCACGAAAAGCGCGGAATCTCAATTCATCTCATCTTCACATCGTGTTTACGAACGGCTTGTCTCTTTCAAATTCGGGGCCACGCAGGCTCCGATCAACATGCACCAGCGTAGCACAGAACTACTCCTCAGGAGGAGTTGTCTCTTCTGCGGGCTGTGGCGGCGGCTCTGGCGCTTCAGCTTGGCACTCACAGCAGTAGATGTGGTACCTCGTCCACTCGTCCGATCCGAATCAAGCAGCTGAAACCCCACACGCATCCGTCACGCCACGCTGAGGCCACGGCACATTATCTTTCTGGTCAGTTGCGGCAGCTTGCATGCTTGATGGGTCCGGGGCTCCTTTTGCAGCCTGAAGCCGCCATCCGTTTGCGAACAAGCTGCGCCGTGCTCGGATCCGCAAATACGGTAGAGTGCATTTTTTCTATCGCTCGCGGCTCTGCTCTGCCCAGTTTGTCTTCAACAGGCCGCCGCGACACTTTGTGGGACGCGGGGCCGCATGCGGATGAGAGGCTGGTGCACTCGGGGACCATGAGCTTGAGATTTGACGACCGAAGGTAGACCGGCAGGTGCCGGCATGGCGCCGAAGGCAGCTGCTGAAACGGCACTGCTCCGGCGCTCACTTCGCCTTCATCCTTGCATACGTTTGCTTCTTTTGGCGGAATCTTTGCAAGAGATGCCCTCGATGCGGATTTCGATGGGGAGGTGCTACGTCCATAACTCCTGCTCTTCCTCACGGGCAAGCCATTGACTGCGAAGAACTTGGAGAGAAACGAACGAAAACACTGGGTACAGGTCTGAACTGTCTAGATGTCTTGCGCATTCTATACAGATCCCTCAACCCCGAGACATAAATTCGATAGACCAGTTGGCAGCCGAAATGCCGGGGCATGGCCTTCTGAAGTCCACATCAAAGTATGCGCAGCTGTCCAGCTGAAGTGCTGAGCACCCTCAGGATCTCCTCCGAAATCGTCGACCGAGACTGGCTGCTACGACACGACGGTAACACATCGCATTGACATGTTCCTGTCTCCGGATTGTAGTGCTCGTTAAGTGGAGTCCTCAAAACCATGCCACATGCAACTTTGAGGTGATGGATTTCTCTCAGAGTTGCTGAAAGCTACTGGGGCTCCCGCTGATCCTTGTCAGAAAAGCCCCGGCCCCTTTCGAAGACTCTGCTCTTCAGAACAGTGGCAAGCTGAGAGAAGGTTGCCTCAATTAAATCAGGCACATCCTCTGGAACAATCTCCGATTGCAGTGACAGTTTTCCAGCCTGAGCATCTTCGACACCGCCCCTCTTCGCTTCCGCAGCATAGCCTCAAGATGCTAGTCTCTGTACTGTTGGGAAAGATTGGTGGGGTCCATGCTGAAGCCAAGAAACTCTGCAGCCCAGAGTACGCGAACCATGTTTGGTCCAACCATGTGGGACCTCACTGCATCCTGCCTAGCATGCTCCTGGTAGTGCCTCTCACCCAAGCCTTTCCAGTAGCCATGGGGATTGTAGAAGGCGTTCTGCTTGCTGACCTCAACTGAACACCACCGTGAAAGCTGCGGACATCGCATGCACGGCATGGATGATACTGGCCAGGGCAGGAGCCGATGGTAAGCTAAAGTTCAGGAGGAACTTGCCCGGGTCTCGCAGCGTGTCTGCCACTTGCGTAGCCTGCAGAACGGGAGTGTACGGTCGTTGCAACCTGGCATGTCGACTGCCCTCCACTATTGAGAGAACTCTCGGATCGGCTGCTGGAGAGGTTGCTTTTGAGAGTTGTCGTGAAGCCTGCTTCTTACGCTGAGAGTACAGGGATTCGGTTCTGGACCCACGCGCCCAGCAGGGATGAGCACCGAACTCGTTCTTTCCATTCCCGAGCCGGCCATGAATCCCACCGTTGCAAAGTCTGGGGTGCATTTTGGACTTATGGGGTAAGGGCTGCTCCTGGAGTGGTTCTTGGGTGTGTGGGGTTTGGACTGCCAGACTTGATGCTCTTTCATTGTTTGCTGTCTTCGCTGGCACAGTCTTTCACACCTCATCCATGGTGTAGCAGGCCCTCCGCCGGGGACTCTGCGAGCAAACCGTCTCAAGCCGAAATCGTCTCCCTCCTTGCAACCATGCCTGCCATATCTGTCTGAGCATTGTGCCGTGTGTATCACTAGCCTGACAAGGATGTGCATGACACTTGCTGCCACCTGAGCGTGTGCGAGAAGACATTAAACAAAAACGTCGGCCACTTCGGCAATTTCCCACAGTGATCGTAGGGCAACCGTGTTCTCATCCACCCTCATTTGGGGAGGCTGCTGAGCAGGAAACGCGGAGAAACACTTCGACCACCTGCTCGCGACTGAAAGCGATCAGGCGCACAAGATTGCCAGGACCCTCTAAACATCCACCTTGCCTCGAAGCCTATGGTGAGCAATGTTCCTTTCGAGAATTGGAGATCCTCAAGACCACAACGCTAGTCACAACCGGCTTGCTCGCGGCGGAGGCACAACCTCTGACGCAGCCACCCTGGTCGTCTCTCAGTCGCCGCTTGGCTGTTTGTTCTTCTAATTCTATACAGCTATAAGTAAGTTATCTCGGAAAAGCAGCAAGAAGTAGAAGATCGTCAGAAAGGCTCGCCTGCCATCAAACCCGGTCTCTCAAGCCCGAAGATCTGTTGACTGAGGTCAACTGGTGGTTTAGACTCCCCAGGGTGCAAGTCACCATCGTCGCTTCTGCTTTCAGCAGGAGATATTACGCTATATTGCACTCTCCATGGCCGGTTTCCGTCGCATTGGCACCACAAGTCTCCGTACAACCAAACGGACCAAGCCGCTTGTTCATGCTGCCTCGAAGAACGCGACAGCGCGGGGCTCGGGGCCAGCCCGCTCTGATTCCTTTCCCGGGGCTAATGCGAGGACTGATCTTATGAGGGAGTCCATTTAACCAGTTTCGATGGCCTTTCAAACTTTCAGCGCGTGCCGCGTTGCTCAAAGAGTAAGTACCACAGCATGAGAGCAAGCACGTGCGCTGAGGGTGCAGATCTCACGAGCCAGAACCATGAAGCTGATGACATGGATCTGCTTCTGTCACCTCGATACGACATAAGCATTGAGAGAACAGCTTCAAGAACGTGGAACGCGATATGCCCCGTACGACCAACCGTGCTACCTTGGACTGCTCACCAGTGCAGCCCCGCTGGGCTAAGATGTTGTCCGTTTCGGGAGACCATCTAGCAGGTCGGAAGTCCATGGCCAGCAATCATCCATCACAGCACGGTTTATACTGGCTAGCTAGCACCTGCTTTGTCGCAGTTGGCCAACTTTGGAAAGAATCCGTCGATTACTCAAGCTTTCATGGTGTGCTGTGGTACTAACGCTGCCACCCCGATCACCGATCGACAACTTGGTACTGGCCCCATCTTCGCACAAAATTGCTGCTCCTCGAAGGGCATGCCCCAATGCAAGTGAGACGAGCAAGCACACACAGAAGAAAACACACCCACACACACACACACGCAGAGACATACGTGCGTGCATTGCATGCTATTTAGGATAAGATGAGCGTCCGACCTGCGACAGGGTTGCAACACCAGCAAACAAGGCAGCATACCCTTCACAACCTGCAATCGGCAATGCCTCGGGTGGAAACTCAGACCGCTATTTGCATGCTGCGTTGCCGTGCTCCACCATGCAAAGACAATTGACAACTGCGGTCTGCGCCGTGCCATTGAAGTATACGTCTGAAAAGAAGCCAGCCCTGAGAGTCAGCAAGACCGAGCTACCTTGTGAGGGACTTCGAAGCCTGTCACAAACATGCTCGAAGCCTGAGAGGTTTTGCAAGCTCTGACAGCAGTCTTGCATTTCTTGCTGGTTTCTGCTGCCCAAAGAGGGCTCGAACAACTGAGACCACATTATGGCTTCTACTTGCTGGCTGGTTACCGCACAAGCCTATTAAGGCCCTTTGCCTGCCAATGCTAGCCCATTACGCTTACCAAGCATGAGCACTCTTGCACTGAAAACTCGGCCTCCCGTCAGGAACGAAAAATGTCTGACGCAGCTTCGGCAACAGAGTTTCCGCCGCCGCTTTCCAGTCTCGTGCTTCCTGCACCATGCCAAGCGCATCTGCCATTGCGGACAATGTCCTGAGCTGTCGCGGCTTCAGACAGCACCGAATGAAAGGACATCAAATTTCTTCGTAGACCCGAAGAACACAGTAACGTGTTCCGAAAAGAGTTCAAGCACAGGTGTCCAGACTAGCAAAGCGTCAGCTTGTCTTTGTAGAGGTAAGAGTTCAAATCAATGGACCAGAAGTCTAAGGTGGTGACCTTGCCCACGTGCAGGGGGATAGGAAGACGTGTAAGTTGGCAGACGAACGATTTTAATTCGGAAAAGTGGCATGGCTGGAAGCGTTAGAAATGGAGGAAGCATACTGCGGCAAAAATCTGACACCGTCATCCATGCCACTTTCCATCCCCTCCGTCCACGAGCACAGGCCGACACCCTTGAGGTCTCGGGCTGAATACCAGAAGTAGTGAAATTGCTTGGTAGCATCGTACATTTCCTGAAGGAATGAGGAATCCCGCGTGGCCTTGAAGATCTGCCACACGGCCCAGGCTAGCAACGGGGGCTTACCACTGCAGCCACCAGCTCTTCCACACCGGTCCACTTTGTCGGGAATGTGCCCGGTCTGCTTGTTCTGTGCAGAAACAATCAGGCGTAGCTGGTCTTTGGCGAGCTGCGGGGCAAAGCCTACCATTCCGACAGCTTGCTTGTATGTGTCCCAAGACCAGAACCCACTCTCGTAGCCATTGTAAGATGGTAGCACGCCATCTGGAAGACCGGGTACAAACCTCCAATTGTTCAGCAATGTCATTACGGATTTTACTGCAACCCATTGCATGCCCTGGCTCTGAACCAAAGGGCTTAAAGCAGTCCACAAGTATGAGCTCCACCGAAGGATTGCACTGCTCACCATCGAGTTCAACGTGTGTGCATCGGCTCCAACTGTGCTAGAATTTGGTGGGAAAGCAACAGTTATGAATGCACTTGCCTCTCTGTCTCTTTGAACGAAAATCTCTGAAGATGTGACAACCAATCGGTCCTGGTCCAATGTATGATTCCACGATAGGTCTTGCTGTGTGCCGTTGTTCAAACATGTGGTCGCGAAAAGGAAGTTGCCTCGGCTGGACCCCTCTCCACGAAGGCATGGGAAGTTCGATTCCGGCAGAACGAAGCCGATCGAGTTGGCAGGCCAAGCAGAAGTCACATTGATGTCGGATGCAGTAACTCTGAACCTTACCTGTGTGGTCTGAGAACCGTGGTTTTGCACAGAGAGCCTTACAATCGCAGTCTTTGGTGAGTGGAAGATCAAGCAGGCCTGGACGCGCAATTCTGATCCCCCAGACGTGACATTGCCATCGAGAACGATAGTGCCGGGATATGAAGATGAGGTCAAAAGCTCCGAAGCAGACCGATCTCTGGCAATCCCGTACTCGACCAGAGGGATCCTCCCTGCCATGGCCCAATCAGGTGCAGGCCCACGAATGGCACCTGGCTCTGAGCGGAAACCATGCGTGGAGCCCTGATCAAACAGCCAGGCTTGCCCCAAGACATTTGGCCAATCGAAAGGCGAAAGTGTGAACGCACACAGGATTTGCCAGCAAGCCAGGCAGCCCCTCAAGCCCCACATGTCCCGTTTCACGCACGAGCCGCCACAACTTCAATGGCAAGCTCAGGTTGAATGAGCATGTTCTCTCGGAGCCAATGCTGAGGACCCGAGCATCACATCTCGAAGCAGGCAAATCACAAATCCCTGCGTCGCTGCGTATCGCTGTTTTTGGCCTTCCCAGTTTTTGCTTTGGGATCTGGCGGAGGATCCTCGGAGCAGTCGGCATCTGCCTTTTGTTGCTCCGTGCAGGCTGTCATTTGTCGTAAGATCGCCACCAAAGGTCGGGCAACCTGGTGGCATGAGATTTCCCGCCTCTTGTCCTCGCAGGCAGCTGAAGGTGCAAGCCTTTTACATCGATTCCGATGCTCCTGCACGACGGCTGACAATAGTGGTAGTCTTTGCGCCGGCCGGGCATGCGATACACAGACCTGACACAGGAAGCGGGCATGCAACACGAAATCACTCCGCAATGCCTAGGGCCTAGAAGCATCTGAGCTCTGACACATATCGCCCGGAGCTTTTCAAGGTGGCCTGGACAAGGGAGGCATCAAGGACACAGCGTACAGAAGCGTGCAGCCGGCCCGTCTTTGAGACTTTGTCCATGCGCACCAAGGCAAGGCTCTGCGCATCCAGGGGATCAGAAATTCCTTGCTCCCGACTGTTGCTTGAAAATTGTGTTGTCCAACATCCGCCTACATGAGCGGAGTGCAGGTCACATATGTGCATAGGGATGTGGACGTGGTGAAATCGCATTGGGCATGCCTGTGAACAGCAGCTCTGCTGCTGGCCATCCACTGTGCTTTAACAAGAGTCAGCAGCTTGGCTGTGCAGGCTATGCGGAAAGAAGTTCAGCGCGGGAACGTAGGTCACTGATCAAAACGACGATACAAGCAAGCGAGTGTGAATCCCAAACGCAGCTCGGTCTGTGGTAAATGAAAACGGGCAAAAACAACACACCCTCACCCGTAGGTGTAACTGTAGTAAACAACACGTGGGCCACGAACACATGCAAAGTAAATGTCAAACGAAGCAGCTGCTTGCTTCTGCATGCTTATTGATCGGATGGTCCCCCAAAGCATCAATATCTTGGCACCCAGTGGAAAACAATCTTCATCGACTCGACACCTTCGAGGACTCGACCTGGACTCGACATTCAGCCTGAAGGCCGGCTGTTCCAAAACATTGACGGCGAAACACTCACGCGTACCCGAGAACATAAAAACCGCCACCTCCCCAATCATTCAGATGACCAGGCACATACAATGCGTACCCAAACAGATACACACTTTCCGCGGAACCGGCAAGCACCCACCACGACGGCACAACCCGACATGACATGACGCGACTGTTCCTGCCGAGGGCATGCTCTCTAGAGAGAAACGAGGCACATTGTGGATCCTGGCATACTCCTCCTACACATGAACTCACGTGACCTAACATCGAGTGGCAGTGTGATTAGATGCACTGTTTCTTCAATATGTGCTCGGAAAGCCTGTTATGTCAGCACTGCGACCGCATCTTGAGGCAAACAACCTGTAGGATTTATTCCGACAGCCCGCACGGTCAAGCAGCTGCACCACTGAAAGAAGTGGTGACAAAATTTGGCACATCGGAAGAGCAGGACTCCGTCATGCCAAAAGCCTGGCAGAAACTCGACTCAACAGGCTGATCATAAGCGCTGTTGCTCTCCTCCCCGGCCTCTGCACGCTTACTGCTCGATTGTCTTCCACCTGTTTGGATGAGGATGAACCAAGTATCGGTTCCCTAAACCCCCCACCCCCCTCTACTGGCGACATCATCCGGATAGAAGAAGCCTGGAACCAGCTCGGCTGCCCATATAGATTTTTTTCTGTACGTCCTGGCTCTTTTCAGACCTTGCACGCAGATGCACGAAGCAGCAGAGTTGTTGCAGGGGCAAATGGTCTGGCAGTCGCAATATTTCGTAATCATATCCAGGCTGCGAGTTCCACCATGCCTGGGGTTCCCAAATCGGCTTGTAGCTTGCAACAACCATTGGAAAAGGGGCATTTGCACTGCAGACTTACAGACACAGAGGCCCCCTCCCCCCCCCCCACAGGCGCCGCATCTTAGCGCTAATTAAGACACGATTGCACACTACCGGGACAGTGCAAAACGTGGCCTGCTGAGGCCTTCCGACAAGGCTCGCACTAGCAGTAGATTCACAGGGGCCCTGCATCACCGAAGGCCAAATGCAGCTGAAGAGCCAAAAACTCAGGGAAGTGCACCTCGCCATTCCTCACGCAGAGCAACCCACATCTCGGCACGCTGCCGAGAGCTGACAGACGGACTTGGCAAGCACAACAGCTGGAGGCTACCGAACCACGGTAACCTGACCTGTCAGTGTCCATCTCATTCACAGCGTTCTGCAGCTCAGCTTGTGAGAGAGGAAAGCCAAGTTCAGCTGCTGCCTCCAAACGTGAGGCAATCTTGGCTGGCCGGAGGCGTGCGAGGAAAACGAGAATGAGACTCGAAAAGCGCCTTTGCAATGCCTGCTTTGGTGAGGGTACCCTTTCTCTCGACGTCAATCTTGTCGAAGACATCCTCCGGAACAAAATCGTGGAACAGCACCAATCCCAAGAAATGTCTGCCTCCGCAGAGACGCAGACCGCAGGCCCGGGCCTGGGCCTAGGCCTGACAAAGCCGGCACCACCGGACTTCGGCGCCGTGGCAACCGAGCCGAGCATCTGACTCTGGGAGCACTCACCGAATCCCCGTTCGCAAGGGGTCCAACCCGGCGACCCGTCTCAAACTTACGACTAGACGGGCACCTGCGGTAGCCGGCTAGACTTGAGTCGGGCACGACTCTTGATAAGAGGCCACTCTCTCAAACAAGGGCTGATTGCTTCTGCGACTATCAGCGCAACAGATCCTTCACGTCTGCGGTGCAAGCCGTTCGAAGGAGTGCTCCGACCTTGTTGGGCACCTCATCCGATTACACTGCAAGAAAACAAGTACGGCACAGTGCGCAGCAGCAGCAGCAACAGGACCTGTGAGGCCGGGTCACGGGTCCGGCAAAGTCACGGGCTAGAATCTGCTCCGCTCTCTCGTGCTCTTCGAGAGCTCGCGCATCAGACCAACCCAAGCACTCCTGACATTGCTGAGGTCGATCAAGAGAGTTAAGACTCAACTGACGGAACATCGCCACTCAACCAAGAACGTGGGAGTCCCCATCCTCTGACCTAAAAGGATCTAGACAGTCAGCGTGACATCAGAAAAGCTTTCACCAAGGCACAGCCATGATCTCCACGACGCGCGGCAAGCACAAACGGGCTGCTGTTGAGTTCAGGAAAGCCAGGCGAGTTCTTCGTGATAACACATCTGCAGGAGTCATCGCGTATTCCTGGTTTACCTCAACTGCAGCTCACGGCGAAGTGTGAATGACACAAATCAGACCTGATTGGAGTAGCAAAGGGCACAGGAAAGGCAAACATCGGCCGAAGAACTGCATATCGCACTTCTGCCTCCAGATATGGGTAGCCAGTTGTAGCTGCCGCACCCTCATAGAGTCTGGGATAGTGCTTGTACAGTCCAGACCTGGATCCTTAATGCCAGTGCAGAGCCTCCCTTCTTGCGATTCGGTCTTCAGTTCTAACAATCTGTTCAAATCTGTTCACCTTTGCTGCAGCTGCAGCACCTTTCACTTGACTTTCTTCGACGCAGGAAAGCACATCCGCAGCCTCAGATGTAAAGTACAAATAATTCATGCATGTCCACTGCCCTGCAGTAGTGAGCCTGCCTTGGTCGTATCATACAGGAGCTGTGGTGCGATACCAGCTGAAAAGCAGTCCGCTCTGTTAGTGCCGGCAGCGGCTCTGGAGCCAGAAAGCCACTACGGTTGATTTGGAAATGGGGTCGGCACTAGTATATACTTGAAATGCCCATCGGGAAGATTACCGGCCCGCATGCCTTCGTCACCCAAAATGCCGCGAGGCGTGTCGCATTGAAACCGGTGACCTCTTCATCCACGTCGGTTTTCCGACTTTTCCAGCACCCTATTGTGGTGTAGTCATTCCCTCAAAAGGCATGCTTAGAATCCTACTGGGTGGACCAGTGGCCGCGAAACCTCCGAATTCTGCAACCGTGCCGAGTCCAAGCAATGCAACTGTCACATGTTGTCACTGCGCTGATGCATCCTTGAAGAGCAAAGGAGGCTAGACAACCTTGGACACGGCTTTTTGATCAGCGAAGGGATGTCAAAGAGCTCGTTTGGCCAGTTTTGAGCAATGTGTTCCGTCAGCGACGAAGCTTTGGATGACGACCTCTCGGTGACGACATTTCGCTCGTAAGGAGTGTGGGCTGGCTCTGCCCACGTAGCCGACGTAGCTTGCCTGCTTTAGAGATGTACTGTGCGCCCTGTATGTTCTAAACGTGTGTGCAGGTACGTGCACAAACCATGCTTACAGTAAGAGAACCTGGCACTAAAGGAAGGAAAGCCAAAAAAGGACGTGTAATGTTATGAAAATAAGGATTGCTGCCCTCGTGTGCCCTTTGCGAGAAAACTGCCCAGGCAACGTTCTCCCAACGGCCCATGACCGTTAATTCAACTCGCAGCCTTTTTGATGGCAGGGGACTCGGGTGCCGTAGTTTCGCACCAGGTGCTGCGCCACGTCAAAGGCGACATCATATTTCTGTGATAATCGAACCGCCAGATTTTCGTGGTATCCTGGCACATGTCAATATCAGCGAACAATCTGTCTACATCTACATAAAGAAAGGGCAGGCAAGTGCTGAATGAGACATGGTCGAAAATCTCTGTAGGCGTGAGATGGCAAGCTGTGGGCGCACTTGTGTCTTGCCGAAGTCAGAATTGGCTCTAGCTTCTCCAGCCTTCCGGAAACTCGCTTGTCTTTCCAGTTCCCAGCAAGGGTGTCTCCAAGGTCTTGGAGGGTCCAGCCTGCAAAGCTGAGAACTTCTGAGGCATACACACAGAAGCCCTGACGCCACTCAGCGGCTTCGATGAGCGTCTCTGAGTGCGCCTTCTTCTTCAGATCCGGGTGACGCTCCAAGACCTGGTCTACGCCATCCTCTGCCATTTCTCGCCAAGTTGTCCATTTTCCGCCAGAAACAAAAGTGATACCATTCGTTGGATGGTGCGACACCTGCACATACGCTCCGTTCTGATCAGTCTTCCCATGTACACGCTTTTATTCGTTGGCCCGAGCTTGTTGACAGCCGGCATGCTGCCATGGCACAACATGGTCGCGAGAGGCAGAGCTTTGATCTTTCGCATTTGGGTCTCCACACAGTGGACGAATGCCGTACCAAGCCGACATGACGTCTCCTTTTTGCAGGGCACTGGGTATGCTGAAGTCCAAGCTTGAAAAAGTTGCGAGTAGATGTAGATCGCGTGCGGTCGCCGGAACACCCTTCAAATCGAGCCATTGGGTTACGGTTGAAGAACCAAAACTTCAGGCGAAGCTTGCACAAAAGTGCCCTGCTACGTTCAATGAAGCCCTAGCAGAAGATTAGCTGCAAATACAAACGTGCTACTGCAACTTTGACCTTTGTTCCTGCACGTTGAAAGTGTCAAAATGTGTTGCTGAAGCACGTTGCACAACCGTCAGCTGATCCAGAGATTGATGAATGCCGAGTCTCGTCGGCGCACCTGCAGATTGGGCGACAAGTACTTTTCACACTCGTTGATCAAATACTGAATCTCGTCCTCCCAGGGCCAAAACTGCAGCGTTTTGTGAAAGTCCTTCACATAGTCTAAACGGGTGTTTCGGCAGACATGCGATCCTCGGGCACTTCGTGATGCAAATCAGGCTTTGTTTTCACATCCGTGGTGCCAACAAGCGTGTAGCCCTCCCATGGGAGGAAGAAGAGGAACGAGCCTGCTCAGGGCACTGTCACGCTTCATACACCGATCTGGCTCCCATAGCACCCATGGCGCTCGGCCTCTGGAAGTCATCATGTCAACCATTCCGATGTGCCGGGGGCAGTAGTAAGGCCTCCCGCTCCCGCTGATGCTTACCATGAATGGCACTTCCATGGATTCCCATGCGGCACCGCACAGAAACTTTGGCCAAGTTGCGGAAGGACAATGTGTGTACCTCCCGATATCCACTTGCGAACAGCGTTCAAAAAAATACTGTTGACGACTCTCGCTTACTCCGAATCAATCAGGCCAAGACCTGCACGTGTCCTGCTGAATGCAAATTAGAATTCAACTTAAGTGTTACGTCAGTGAACGAGTATTGAATGGTATAGCCTGGAAAAGGTCTTGCGCCTCCAGAAGCATTGACCATGGGCTTCACATCCTTCCCCTCACTCAGCTGCCGCAGACCGTCTGTGAAAGGCCCACCACAGTAGACGATCTTCTTGGCCTGACAGTTTTATGCAGATCTGCGCAGCTCATGCACAGACTGCCGCTATGATAAGCCTTGACAGCGAAAGGCTTGGCAGCTGGATCTGTCTTGTCAAGGACCTGCCAAATCAAACGAGGTCGCATGGACGCGACACCTCATGAGCTGGCAGCCGGCCGTCCTCTGCGCCAGTGGCCACACCTTTCTCGTCGAACACGATTCGCTCAACCTGTCGACAGTGGCAGGGTAAACCATGGAAAGCATGAGCATCTCGCACCGTCAACAATTGTGCCTTGGCATAGTTGGCGATGCAAGACCCGTACATTGCCGCAGTGAGGGCGATGCAGACATTGGTGCGGGCATCGTTGTGCTCACCCTCATAGAAAACGGAAACGTACTTCATCCTGGCAGTCAAACTGGAAGCCTGCACCGTTTCGGAATGTCGCAGCAGGCATTGCAATCAGTCACGCGGTTGCCTCTTCCCGTCCATTTGTGGGAAATCTGTTCGTGCCCTTTCAGAAGACATGACGTACGAGTTGGGCGCGACATACCTGAAGGCCAATTGCACTTCTGCACTTGCCGGAGGAGGCTGATGATTGGAAGTGGATACTTCAAGGTTGTTGTTGTGGTGGCAAAACTGCAAAATTAGTGCCACCAAGCTAAGTCTGTGCGAAAGTTCCCTGCAAGAGAAAAAAGTTCTTCAAGAGAGAGCATCAGAGCCATGGGACTCTGCATCGGCCTGGCCTCTTTTCCATGCTTTTTTATAGTTCGCATACACGAAATGATCCGAGATGCTGCCCCAGAAAATCATAGAATTTGAAGAAGATCACGAAGAGACCCGTACATGGCCCCAATGCGGCCGGCGGATAATCCTGCCGTCACAAAAAGGCACTGCCATAGCCTTCTGACACAACAAAGGCCTTTCAAGACAAATGCCAAAGGCTGCCATGGAGACCACTTGCAAACCCGATCCAGTCTAGACTCCCCGGCTGCCGACCCATAATTCAGGCAGGCTTCGAACGGCGGTGGCCAAATGATCCACTTGTCCAACCTGTCTTGAGCAAATCTACAGCGGCTTCGGAGCGAACACACCTGAAAAACATGCGGAACTTTTTGTGCAGCAATTATGCATTTCGCGACGACCGCGAGCATGTCCGGGCATGAGCCAGCCTTCGATGCCTTTTCCCGACTGTAGATGTAGCAGCACAAGTTGGAGACTCGACCGTGGTGTGAGCATGACGACTGCTAGCAAGGCTTCTAAATTTTCTACAGCGTCTCGCAAGGGGTATGTGCTGCCGTCCGACACCCATTTCTCACCAGGTTGCGGAACGGCAATCGGAACCCAATTGGTGATGTGGGGGTTCATCGTCAGCATGTAGGTTCTTTCACGGAAACATCCCAACACCTCATATTGGATGCACAACGAAAGCTCTGCCATGACGTCAATCAGCGCATGGCCCGCCATGTGCTTAGTTGTGGACCATATGCCAGGTTCCCGCAAACTCCTTGGCAGGGGGATCGGCGCGAACAGAAGAGTGCCATTTGTGCTGCAAAGTACGTCGTACCTGCTGGCTCCACCCAGTCAAGTGATGCAAAATCATGCAAAATCACGAAGCTCGGGTGAACTCTTGGGGAAACTATGGATGAATTTGCTAGGTTTGGGTGGGGCACACTGAACTGGCCGTTTGAACATTTTGTGTGTTGTTTGATCGGTGATGGTGACGTCCCTTTGGCCATCTACATCCTGTAAAACCTGAGGCAGGTATGTGTTGTCAAGGGCTTCGGTGGGTCCTCATGTAATTAATTTTCAATACAAGGTCGATAAGTTGAGAGCATGAAGCACTGCCGCCCTCACGGGATTTACCGAGTGCACCGAAGGCTGGGAAGCTCCGCCTGGGTTGCCTCGGTTTGTTTTCTGCAGCTACAGCTGCTTCAAAATCGAATTACGTACCGGATTCCTTGCACCTGGGAGGGTTTGCCAACACCAGATAGTAACAACACAGCTAAGCATATGCTTCTCATTTTGCTTGCCAAAAGATGTAGTGAGCTGTGTAGGGAAGTGGGCTTCGAGATCATGGCAGTCACGAAACCAATTTCAAGGGGGCTTTGTTCGAGCAGTCTTGGGGTCCCGCCCGAAGCCGGCAGGGCGTGCTGTTTCAAGTACAGATTCCATTCTGCGCAGACAAGAGGCGGTGATTGCTGCAGCTTGAAGATTGAAACCCCGGACAAATGATGCGTATTTTTGCTCCTGCATCTGGCCTGCTTAAGGCGGCACGAAATCGTCGCCGCAACTCTGCTACGCGGCTGTCCAGCAATGCTGTCCAAGATTCGCTCCATGCTGCCACTGGGCTCATCAGGGAAGATGGCGAGAACAGCTTCACCAAGCCCTTCACGAGGTACCGAGAGCCTTGACTGATGACAATCTGTTGAAGAAACACTGCAAACAACCAGGCTCACACAACATTTGGCGAGGCGAGTTGCAAGAGGCCACAGAGAAAGCTACTAGTACCCACTCTCTGCAAGAGAGGCCCTCACCGGCCCAAAGGAGCTTCGTGGATTTGGAAGAAGTCCCAGATGCGAAGTCTTCCTGTCAGCAACCGACCGGCTTTGCGTCCGACAGCCGGCTTTACAGGCCGCTCCTGCTCGACGCACGCTACCTTCAGTCCTCTGAGCTGAGCCTCCAAAGCGACTCCAGCGCCTGTCGTTCGCCATGCAGCAGAAATTTCAACGGACATCAATGTCTTCGGACCTGTTGCACCGCCGCCAACCACCAAGATGTCAAACTCTTCTCCGCTTGCTAGCCGCTTTATTTGGTCGGCACGCGTGGGCACTGGCTTTTCCTCAACGGTCCTCACGTATCCAGGTTCCATGCAAACTCAACCAAATCTTGACCCCCGATCGTCTGCACGATTGCATGTACGGCTTCCGAATGATGCTGGGATACTCTGCGTGGATTCTGATCTGTAAGGTACACATTACAAAACATGAAGTGCCCGTCCTGATTGTCTTCTCTCGGTCCTGCACATCATGCGTGGGTGAGTCAGAGGGCCCCCTCCGTTTTGCTCCAGGTTTGCTCCTGACGCTTCTTCTCGCTGCTGTACGAGAACGAGCCGACTCCGACTGCTGTGACTCCGACAGCACCGCTTGCCAAGAGCCTTGTCAGGTCACCACGCCCCAGGGCAGAAGCACCGGTTCCGAGTCGTGCTGCCAAGCTGCAATCGACGTCTCCACTTGGATGGTCCAACAGCCTCACGCACAAGCTTGCGTCAGAAAGCGGCAGCTGTGTTGACAGGAAAGTCCTACCATCTGGGGTAACCATGGAAATAACTCGAAGTAAACCTCCCTGGAGACCTTGGAATCTACAACCAAGAGCGCTTGCCTCTGCGGCGGCTGAAAATCGACGACCGACTAGTCTTTGCGAGATCGGTGCGGCGCGGCGCAGCATGGGTGCGGAGCGCCTTTCCAGCATGACCCGCTTACACGTGCATGCGACGAAACTGGACCAACAGATGCGATCAGGATGCGTTTGTCGGTCTGAGCACCGTCTTCAAGCAGAGGCCCAGAGCAAGTCGCGCTCAGGACTTAAAGATGCTCTTGAGGCACATATGTTGCGGTCTCACGTCAAGATTGGCAGATACCTGCGCTTCCCTCACAGTTGCAGGCAATGCTATGTTCCTGCTGCGAAAGGCCCCGGCCATCAGCGACTGCAGGACGCCTTCTGCGGAGGCCCAACCTTGCCTGGAGTGAGCAGACACGTTCCAGCTGTGCACACATACACGAACACAGAGCACAGGCAAAATCTAATCTTCCCCATCGCAACGTCGAACTGGAACAGCCAAATCAATACGGGAGATACTGTACTGTGTGGGCGTCCTCTCTGAAGGGAAACCCACATCCCTCATCCCCGTCATGCTGATCCGTTCATGGCATCATCGACACCACCACCATCGTCGTCTCCGACGCGGCTGCAAGCGGCATTCTCACCCACAAAATCAACGTCATCATTCATCTGACAGCAACTCCATGTAATTTGTTTACTGCCTTCCAGCGACCACTGTGTCCAGCAAAGCTTTGTCTAGCACGAGGTCAAATCGGTCGGACCAATCCTTCTGTTCACACATCTTGGAATTGCAGGCCGCAGCCTTCTCTTTCAGCAAAACAAAACCAGCATTTGGGTAATTCTCGAATAGCCAACAGCTGCTCCTGCGGCAAGTTGGAGGCATCCGCAACTTCGAATTCCATCGCAGCCTGAAGCTTCAGCTTGCGAAGCAGATGCCACATTCCGACAATCTCGCTATCGCACTCATAGGTTGCATTCATAGGCTGCCGGCCTTGTCTTTGTATTTCTCGCGGAGGGAGGCAATCAGCTCGGCCTGTGTTAACGACAGTTCCAGGTTAACGGTTCGATCATCCCACGACGAAACAACAGCTTTCGAGCTCTTTGCAGACGCGCGGCGCACTGATCGACCTGAGAAGCGACTGGCACGTAGGAGCGAAGTCGCTGCGCGCGCTGTCGCTCGCTGTTCTGCTCCCTTCCGTGAGCTCTTTCGGGCTCGGGAGCGCACACAGGTGATCTTGGACGCCAAACCTCCCATGCGCACATCAGTAGATCCACTTATCGCAGCATTTGTCAAAAATTGAAACGGTTCAGGCCGTGATGTGCACCGGACCGGGTGGCCCTGTTCAGGGAACCATGTATCAGATCACGGGTCCCGTACACCCGAAACCCGAACACCTACAAACCCTAGGTAGGCCCTACAAGCCCTCTCATGTGCTGCGGAGCGAATGCAAATCTGAGCGGGGAATCCGCTACACACCCTCGAAGCCGATGCCCGCAGCTATCGGGCACATACAAACTGCTGTATTAAAGACCGCACCAGGCTTCTGACCTTTTTTATACTACAGGCGGACCTCGGACCTACTCCGAACTCCCACGTCAACCCGGATATGGAGTCAGCTATCTATTTCAAGCTCGAAATACTGAGAAGAGGTCGCAGCGAACTACCTTACAAGCTAGAGCAGGCTGCTCGGAACTTCGGGGGCAGATTTCTACGTCGTATCAACTGTTGGAGACTAGCAAGGCACGGGTAGGCCAAGCAAGGTAAGGCTCAACTGTTTTGGACATGAAAGTCGCGGAAGGGCGCACCTACGCAAGCCTCTCATCATTCATCACTGTCCAAGTCAAGACAGGGAGTTGTTGCAAAGCTGACAAGACGAAGTTTGAAGGCTCCAGTTTTCGGGATATCTCCCGCAGAGGCCGTGGACGCAGCGGCACTTTCCAGCCAGTTAAGCTCTGCAACATGTGTGCAGCCATCCGGCGTTGCTTGTGCTTCATCTTCGCCCTCGTCCTTGATTTCGTCCTTCGCCTCGTCTTTCGCCTCGAATTTTGCCTCGTCCTTCGGCTCGCATTTGGCCTCTCTTTTCACAGGCGACGGCATCGAAGCTTCTGCCTCCGTCGCAAATCGTGCTGGGCCGGCAGGATTGCAACTCAGATTGGAAAAGTGCTCCTGCAGCCAATGCGCAGCCGCGTTTGCATCCACTTTGTCCACCATGAATGGATGCAGCCACTGTGGGAGAAGGCTAGCTTTCCTTGCAGAGAGCTCGGGCTCGGGCTCTTAGGAGCTCCACAGAAGTACAGATACTTTGGGGCAGTGGCCTGGCAATCTACCACAAGTCTACTACTGGTAGAGGTTCTCACAAGACTAGGCGCAAGGATGCATCCCCACTTGCGAAGGTTGGGTGCCACGGTTGCTCTACAGGGCGCGAGCAAAAACAAAGCCAAACAACAAGAGATCTCCGGCACCCCGCTAGGCTTCTCGAGGCCTAGTGGAGCACCTCCTGTGCCCCGTACATACTTTGTCACTGTTCCGCATTGCTCTGCAAACCAAGTTGTTCCAAAGATGTTCAACGTCTGGCGCAGGATGTCCTGCACACTGTTTGATGAGGCCGCACAAACTGCTCCTGAAGAGCTGCCTTCACGCGTCAGCAAAAGCTTCGAGGGTCACCGGTACACAATTAGTAGTTAGTAGGCCAAAAAACATTGAGTTTGGACAAATCTCACGGTGCTTGTGTTTTAATGTGCATCTATGGCATGCTGCCGCAATCTGCTCCAGCACCAAACCAGGCATTAGCAGATCAAATGTCAAACATTGTCAAACCCGTGACCTGTGACCTAGCAATGCCCAAGAAGCCTAGGGCCTAGGAGCTGCCATGCAGCATGAACCAAGTCATGATGCACGTTTCTGTACAGTTGTGCCGAGGATCCCCAACTCGGCCCAACGACTGTCCAAGAGCACAAGGGCACCAAAATCCAGCGGATGACGAATGCAGCGTCCCAGGGCCTGTGCAACGGCATGAAGTGCTTTGGATTCGTACCACGCATCTCCAGAAACTGCACCAGTGGACCGCGACACCGAGAAATCGTTAAAAGCTCGCTTTTGCGCAATCCTCTCTTCCGTAAGGTTTGGGAATGGGATGCCGATGCAGACCACCCCACGTGCAAAGTCGTCATCGAAAGAGACCCCTTCGCTCATCCTTCCTCGGTAGACCGCCAGCAGCACAGCCTGCCCCCCTTGAGACACCGCAATCTCATATCTCTGCCTGGCCGCTTCGTAGACTCGAGCCGCTGAGGCGGTGGATTGTTGGGAGGGAGGTGGTTCGACCACGAGGGTGCCTTTGGCTTGCCGTAGCTGATCCAGGAGACTCTCGCCACATCCAGCCGAAACGACCTGCACCCGCTCGACAGGTCCCGAGCGCTTGCGAGCCTTGGTCCGGCCCCGTCCCATTCCACCCCGTCCATGACCTTTCTGGGCATCGGCGGCATCGGCACCCTCGCTCTCGCCCCAAGCCGCAAGGCATCGCTCTAACAGGTCGTAAGAAGGGAGAAAAACAAGGATCCCCGCCGGGATGGCACGGCAGACTGTAACCAAGGCAGCGCCGACAGAACGCAGAAATGGCCGTCGCTTCCAAGCATGGAAAGTACATTCCAGTTTGGCTTCTGCACTTTCTGCATGTGACACAGTCACGACCGTCAATGCACCGCGTCCGACCACGTGGCCGGCTGCCAGTGCAGGGAGAGCTCGGGACTTGAATGTGGGGCCAAGCTCAGATATTGTTGCCGGCAGGGGGGACAAAGTCCCCGACATGAGCAAAATGCTATGTAGCTCCGAAACCAGGTTTCCGAAAGTCCCCTCAGCACTCATCAGCCAAGTTTGCAGGGCCGGCCGCTGACCCAGCCCATGTGGCCCATGCCCCTCAGGCCGAGCGTGCACCACGTAGAGGTCGGGGCGTCGCGCGGCCGCCGCAAGCTGGTGGACAAGTGAAGCTGCGAGCTCGAGTTGTGCGCTGAAGGCTCCTTGCGCCAGCTCTCGCAGAAGTGCCTCTCCCCGAGGCACATTTCCGGAAGCTCTGCCGGCGGCACCAGCGGCACCGTCAGGGCGCAGAAGTGGCTCCGAGTCGAGCTTAAGCGCGTGCAAGAAAGCGGACACTTGACGATGCTCAGAAAAATGTGGAGCATACGTAGCTGGCTGGTTCAGATCACGCAGATAATCGCATATGCGACTCAGAAGTGAGGAAACAGGTCGCAGAGTAGCAGTTAGTGCAGCTTTGCGTTTCCGATCAACTGGCGCAATGGGACCAGGACCGTTTGAAGACTGTCGCGGCGTGTCGACGGCAGCTGAAACAGTCGCAGGCAGCATGAAGCCCCCAAGCTCCTCTGAGGATTTCGTCGCAGGAGTGGTGAGGATCTGAAGCTGGTCACCCGCAAGTGAATTCGCGCCAACATCATCGCCGAGCAAGCGCTTAATAACTACCAGGGCACTCCTTGCCTGGTCGAGGGTGATCTCTGCCGATCCTGCATCACGGCAAGTACCTTCGACGTTGTGAGCTTCATCCAAAATTATCAGTCGCCCGCTGAGATCTGCACAACTTAATCCGGAAGCTTGGCGAACAGATGGATCCAAAACATAGCTGTAGGGGCAGAACACGAGTTCGGCGTGTTTGGCGACGGAGTGTGCCACATAGTAGGGGCAAGAATTCGTCATGGTTCCAAACTGTGCCATGTCCTCAATGTCCCATGGCTCAGAGCCCCGTAGGCGAGCCTGAATGATTTCTGGCACACCAGGCGAAGCCAAGCCCTCGTGGAAGCTGCAAGTCTTTTGCCGGCGTGCCTGACGACATGCGTGTCGCAGTTGCCCATCATCTTCGGCAGATTGGAGAACTTCTTCCTTGATGCACAAGCCAGCTTCCCGTGAACCAAGCACGGCCATGATGGGTCTGTATGGGGTTCGTTTTAATTCCCGGATGGCTTGACGAACCTGGGCGTGTGTCCGTGTGGCAAACATCACCTGTGGAGCAGAGCCAGTTTTCCTCATGCGGTGTCTCTGCCATGCGATGCAGGCACAAAGCACGGCGACCGTCTTGCCAGTGCCAGTTGGACTTTCGAGAACTGCATGTTTTCCAAGGGTCAAGGCCTCTAATACGCTCCTGATAACGGCTCTTTGCGGCTCCAGAGGCTGCTCAAACGGGAAGAGGACCTCTACTCCGCCAAAATTCAGCTTGAACCTGGCATGCGCCTGAACGATCGGACAAGGCTCACCACTGATCATCCCCGGACCGGAAATGCTGCCAGCACCTGTCCCAAGCGCGAGGTCGTGCAGGTGGGCTGCAAGCATGTCGACTGCCGCGGCCGAGATCCCGGAAGAGTCGCGTCCGGAAGGTGGTCTTGGGAGAGCTTCCGCTTGCGCTTGCTGTTGCGGCACACCGCTTGAGAGCTCCAACGGTGACTCCCGGTAGCTGCTGGCCTCTGAAAGGCCGTGCGCGAGGCGTGCACGCTTCGCAGCTTCTGCATCCTCTGCGAGAAATCCAGGCGCGGATGCTGCCGCCTCTGCTTGGAGAGCAGCTTGCAGCAGCTCCTCCTCATCGATGTCGCAATCGGATTCACACATCCAGGCCTACGAGAACGTCACCATGGCACTGTCATGGCATAGGCTGGTTCAGTGGCAGCACAGTTTTTCCTCGTAAAACCTGCCAGTATTGTCTGCGAAGCATATCAAAATAATTGATCGCTCTGCTTTTTGAAAGTCGCAGCACGTTGAAACTGCAGCAAGGCTACCCACAAGATGTCGACGAACCAGCACAGCCGGCGCAGGAAGCCGAAGCCGCTGCATGTGCCGGCAACCGTGAACAGCCATAAAGATAGTGAGCAGGTGTGAAACAACAGTAGTCGTTTCCGGCACTGCCAGCACCTCCGGCCTTCTGACAGCATCTGCTCTGCCACGAGGCTTGTGCCTTGGTGACCAAGCAAGACCAAGCACACTGCACGATCAACGCGTTACATAAGCCAGGTCCGGACCGCATCCGGCGATCAGCACAACTGACCTCAATTGCCAGGCAAAGCTCCGCTGACAGTTCCTGTACCAGCTTTGCGATTGTCAGCAGCATCCTTGCGAGTCTGACGGGCCCTTACTACGTCCCAGCGCTGGCGGAGTACGCGACTTCTCTCTGGGCTCTTGGCTCTGATGACAGCCAGCTTGATAGGAGCTCCTGCACCATCATGCACCATCCATATGAAAGAGATGCTGGGCTACAGACCTTACAGATGTTGTGGCTACCCCGCCTTCAGGTGCTCCCACTTCAAATACCTGTAGCAAAGGCAAGCAACAGATCAGATGTGCTGCTAGTTGGGCCTCCACAAGAGCAAGTGTTGGCAGTGTTGGATCCCGCAAAGCACAAAATAGTCCGCGTCGCATCGATTCGTGTCCAGCCCACGAAGAGGATCAATACAGAAACTCGCATCCACAAACCGGGTCAGGACAGGACCAACCAGGTTGGCCCTTGAAGACATCTTGGCGACTGAGGATCTGACCAGTCAAACCTCGGTTTCAATTGTTTGCGATTTTGCCGCCGTGCACACAGGAGAGTCTGATGCTCCAAAAACTTTGCTACACTTGGTGTCCTACTCACAGCTGCGAATCGGGTCAGGCTATGGGAACTTTCCGTTACCTGTAGCATCTACACCCGCCCGGTTTGCCAATTTACAAAACGCCCACCGATCTCTAACCTGCTCGCGTCCAGCGATCACGTGTCAGCAATTGCCTTATAAGCCTGGTCCTACCCGCAAACCCGCTGACCCACCTGGCCGCCTCGCTACCACTGGCCCTGAAATACGTGCTCTGCAGCCTGTTCCGGTCGGCCGAGCTGGTTACGTCTTGGATGCATACGTGTTCCCGGAGTGCGAGGCCGGAGAAGCACCCATCTTGTCGGCACACATGTTCGCTGCACTGCGCTGCTGCTGCACAGGATAGTGATAGTGACACGTGAACAACACCATCTGCTCACGGCAACAACATGAGCACAACACCTTGTCGCTCGTTATCGTGAAGCAGCAAACTCCCACGACTCCCACTGCGCTCAGATTTCAATAAGATGTGACCAGTTCGCGTAGCTGGCCCAGATCCACACAGGCGGACGCTTGGCAGGTTTGACCCCGCAAGGGGTAGGAGACAACATTGCCAAAGCAGCACAGTCGAAGACTAGCATGCCGACAACAGAGTTTCTTGCCCAGAGTTCAAGAGTCCGAAATGAAAACCTTGCCGAAGCTTTCAGTTCATGCGTTGCCAGAATGTCTACAGTAGGAACTAGAACGGTGAAGCTTGCACGTTTCGGCACTCCTCGAAGAGTACATAAATAGCTAGCAAAGTCAAGAGAGAATAGCCACAGGGAAGCACTGCAGATGTGCGTGCAAGGCTACACGGCTACATCAATCGCCAGGGGACGGCTCGAACGCCTTTTCCTGGTAGCGCTTGGACCAATACACCGCATGCGCATGGCCTGGCCTGGGCCCGTTCAATGAAACTTGCGAAGGTCCCTCTGCGACGTCTGCGCCGGCTCTGAGGCGAGGCGCTTCGAAGAGCTCTTCGTGTCAGTCTCGAAGCGGCCCGCGTCTACACCTGAAGCCAATATCCCCGCTTTCAGGCCCGAGAAAGACCAAGCACCTACAAACCCATCTCACATGAGTGCCTCGCCTGCCATGCAAGGCTGTTGAAACAGGTGAAACACGAGGCTTGCGCGGCGGCCCTGAGAGCCCTTTTGCAACCAAGCTGGCCCAAGCTAAAGACACATGTGACATGCACGTAGGCAGGCACGTGTGCTTACAGGCGCGGACGCACACACACACACACACACACACACAGATATATATATATACCGAACCCTGCAGTGCCACACCACTTTTTGAAAACCAAGAGCGAGTGGTGCGCGTGCCTGCTTGGCCCCTCTGTCGTCTTGAGGGTGCAGCCTTTCCCAATGTGCTTTGAGCCGTTTGTTGTACAAAGCTTGGTTGGCGTTGAGTCCTAGTCGCCCTTTCTGCACATGAGTTCAACATACACCATGTCGCTTCTTCTGCCTGCTTTCTCACGGAACCAGTCAGAATGCCAGAGCTGAAAGAGCATGGTAGATGATGCTCACGAGGCTGGGTCACTGGTGCTTATGATGCTGGGTCCTTGCTGGGCCCCTGACGGTCGGGTCCCTGCCCCCCCCCCCCCGGCCCATGCTCGCGGTGAAGCTTGCTTTTCGTCATCTGACCCGCGGCCACCAACTTTGGACGACTGCCGATGCCACATCGCTTCGAATCGCACGAATTCGTGAAAAACACCATACCGACCCTCCATGCCAGAAATCTCATGCCGCACAACACAGATGCGCATAGATGTACTGTCTTCTCACTTGCTACGCATCATTTTGCCGATGCAGTTTTGACAGCTTTGCAAAAAAGATGAGGGACTGCTTCTGATGAACAAACTGGCTGAGTGCGAATGGGCACGCCATGTAGACACGCGAACAGCTCACAGCAAAGCAACTGCATCATACTTCGCCAGCCGAGGCCAACGTGTTCACTCGGCTCGGCTTGAAAAGCTGCGAAACCAAGACAATGCAGCGGGTCTTTTCTACACTTGCACCCGGATCTGATGCACGATATGCAGCAGAACGAATCAGAACAGACCAGACAGCAGACAGCTTCTCCTAGTTGTCCTTTTCAAGACCACAAGGAACTTTCTCCTGCAATGCGTAGAACGTCACTGAGGCTAGTGTCATCCGTCAGTGCTACAGGCGAAGCTCTGCTGCAGGTGATGGAGCAGAAAGGCTGATCAACGGATGCAGCTGAAATCACACCGGCTATGGTATTTCGTTATTTCGCATTCAGCCCCTTGACCTTGACCTATACCGCGCAGGCCTTAATCTGTATCCGCTGCCGTACAGACGGTTCAGACCCGCAACTTTTTGCTCGGCACCCAGCCCTGTCCAGAGCCAAACCTCCTTTTCCTTCTCCAGCCATTGTTTCCCCCATTTTCCCCCGCTCCGACACTGAACCCTTTTGCAGCATCCTGACCGCCCCCTCAACGGCTGCCTGGCAACGAAGCTTTGACCCCCCGTCCGCCTCTTGCCACCTCCCGGCCCCACTCCATGGGGGCCGTCGGGACCTAAGCTCTCCGTCAACAGTATCACCCACACAATAAGAGGGGGAAATGAATTTCTCGGCCGTCTGGACCACATCCCACCCCCACCACCAGCCGACGGCCGGTTTCTTTAAGTAATCCTCTGGGGGTGCCAGCTATCACGACTTTTAGCTATCCTGGGGGTTGGCAGCACAACGCCGGCGACGGCCGCTGTAAGTACTCCAGAGTCTTAGATGTCGCACAACAACACCGATCAGCAGGAAGACTGATGCAATGTGAGATTAAGTCACTGCCTTCGATGTGTTGCCTGGACAACGCCGAGGGTTTGCCAGCAACTCTTGTTTAGCGGAGGCGTACTAGGAGGCAGCACGCAGAGGCTGCAGCTCGTCTCAAAGCTGCTTCTGAGAGGGTGGCACTGTACATTGCTTGCTCGCGACTCAACTTGCCAACAGAGAGGGCACACCTGCATCCGCCTGCATCATCTTAGATCCTGGAATCCTAGGGCCGGAGCAGATGAGTCCTCCTCCAGGTGAGCTGGATCAGCAGGAAGCATTGCATGCGCATGGGTACCAACCGTATGCCAGAAAGGATCCATGCTTCGACCCTGAAATGACCAATGAACTTGATTTTCGCGTCTAGACTCTAGGCCATTCAAGAACTCTTCTGCAACGAATCCATCTCATGCTTTGCGAATGATGCACGCGATGCACCTGAAATCTGGAATCTTTGTTGAAGGTTTGCCTCTGCCGGCATCTGTGTGAGCTCTGAATAGGCAGACCACAACCGCATGACAAGACGAATGGCACTCGGCCACCTTCATCTCACTTCTTCTTCTCTGCCGGTATGCGAGCATAGTTGCATCCTAAGCCGAAAACATGCCAGGCTTGAATGTCAAACACAGCTCGAATATCTTCAACGTCTTCAACTTGAGGGTGCAACCGCGCTCCATGTCAAATTTCACCTTCACTGAGGCTTGACAAAACTGTGAGTCTTCAACCCTGCCGATCCCTGGCCTCAAGGCCGGGTGGCAAAGCTACTCCGTCCGGAACTCTCTGCCACTGTCGCGAGGCGACCTCGCAACAGCACAAGAAGTCAGCGACAGTCTCTCCCTCGGCCTTTTTGGAGCGCACTGACGTGCTGAGACCGAGGCGAACTTGACGTCGTTGGCTTTCGACTGTGCTCGAGCCTTGGTCAGGAGCCTCGGCGGAAGCATCGGAGCAGCATCGAGTGCGACTTGCGTGTGCAGACCACTCCAATCAGTGCAGGGCCTGACCAAGTCCTGCAATCCAGCAGTCCGAAATCAGAAGCTCCCAACAATCCGAATCTCGCATCTCTGGTCCTCCTTCTCTGTAGCACCAGCCTGAGGTTGCAGAACTGCAGGAAGCCCAGACATCTCAAACAAAATCGCGGAGTCTGGCCAGCTATTGTCCAAGGCGCAAAGGACACACCAGCATCTCCCAGCAAGTCCTGCAGTTCTAGTGCAACACCCCTCTGGGTTCTTATTCTAGGGGCTGTTGTGCAACACAGCTTGATGGCGACCTTCAGTTCTTTCACACCAAGCTTGCTGAGTTCGACGGCTAGAACCTCGCATCCGGCGGCAAACGATGCACGAATTGGCGTTCGGGTGAGGCTGCCCGACTGTCTGCACTGCCATGCTGCCATACTGATACTGTTGCTGCGCCATCCCCCAGTCTCTGGTGCCTCCATCTCTGCAGCAATGACAGCTGCAGTGGAGGGAGGAAGCGGTTTAGCATCCTGGAGGGCCAGACCGCCAACACCAGTCTCTAGTTAAAGGATTTGGGGAGCCTAACTGCAAACCCTCCTTGAAGCAAGCAACCACCAAGTACAACCAAAACCGTTCAACACCCTGACAAAGTCGACTTCTCTCTGACCTCGATGACCTCAATCACATCGCCATTGGCGTCGCTCGCGCCTGCGGCAGATTGAGCAAACCAACTACAAAGTCTGCCACAGCACAGCTATGAAGCACGTACCCTTTTTCTTCTTCTTCTTCTCGCCGCTTGCTGTTGAGCTGCTGGACTGGGCGCATGCACAAGGTCGATTTGCCGATTTGCTGCTTCATAGGCTGACCAATCAAACAGCAATTCGAACAGATCGCTGAGGGTGCCGCGCTGCTGCTGTGGCTGCCTTGGGCATCGACTTCGCTTGCGCGGACTTGTGCTACTTTGGAGACTGTCTGGAGATTGGGGCTTGGACTGCTCTTGCTGCCGCTTCCGCTCTTGACGCGCTTCCTCATGCTGTGCTTGTGTCAGCTTGCTCGAACAAGTCACAAGTACTTGTACCTGTTCATACCACATACTGAGGCGGCGCGATCTCTTGACCAAGACACCGTTTGATGGACTCGAGAGCTGCGAGCCGTGCTGCCTTCCACCCACCGAAAAGCCAAAGGGCACAAATACATCAGTGCTCGAACTGCGCATGCAGCTTCCAACTCACCTTGGCACCGCCGCGACCCTTCGGGCTACCACCATCGCGTTCTCGACCTATGAGAGATTTCAGACTCCACTTACATGACGCGGCAATCTCAGGATCACGACCTGAGTGCTGCACGTTTGTCGCCATCTTTTCCTCTGTCGTTATTGCCTTGGTCACCTGAGGTTGCACAGAGGCACATAATTATTGGCATTCGGACAGACAAGGCCCCGGCGGCTTCTGCGACGTGGCGAACGGCGTCGAGGAGAGCGGGAGGATCGCCTGGGAGATCGCCTTGCTGACCGCCGCGGAGAGCGCCGCAGAGATCGCCGCGGAGACCGCCGTGGAGACCGCCGTGGCGACCGCCGTGGCGAACGCCGTGGTGAACGTCGTGGCGAACGTCGTGGCGACCGCCTTGGTGATCGCCTTGGCGACCGCCTCGGTGACCTCAGCACAGCATGCCGGAAGGCCTGTTGTCCATCTGGTGCACAATTTATCGTGCTGTCCATCTGGTTCACGGTTTGTGGTTGTCGCGTCTCGTCCGTTCTTTGTGACTCCATGCTTCGGTCCGTGGCCGCCAGTCGGTTTACGAGCTTGCCGAAGCGCGCCACACTTCGTACAAGCGATTCTGGGGAAGTGCGAGAAGACAGCAGTTCTAGCGCCTACACGAACCTTCGCGTCACAGTCTCTTATCCAGCTATACATGCTGAGATTTGCTACAGGCTGGAAAACTGCGTACACACACTGCTTCATAAAAAGACGGCCAAGGTTTGACAAGCTGATTACTCAAGCAGTACTTGCAGCCTTTCAGTATGGCAAGCATTGCTTTGATGGTTTGCGAGGCAGGGGGCGGACCGCTTCCGATAATCCTTTATCAATCGGTATGCACGGGGGTGGCAACAAACACGACTCCCCACATCGCCCATTGCCGGCTGAGCTATGGCCTCGATCGTGACCTTCGATCTCGCCGATCGCCTCTGTCACGATCGCGATCACGTGCGTCGCCTGGGCGATCTCCATAGCCCGCAGTGCAGGAGAGAGGTGTCCGCACATAAGCAGCCAACGATCCCGACGGTCTCTGCGATCGCCTCTGTCGCGATCTCCTGGCAATGTCTCAATGCCCCAGCAGAAAAGGCAATTTCT